GGGCACCATTATCTTGTGATCTCAATTAAACCTGTTGTCGATATGGTAAGTTCCCATTTGTGTCAGATACTGGTCAAGTTGAATTAAGCTAAGATTATATGAAATTCAACGGAAGTCATCAATATCATTCATTTAATCTCTTTCTAAATCATTCGAAAAAAAGTATGAAATGCTGCTTCTCAAGATTATAACACATTACAAACTGCGAGAATTCATTTAAACTTCTTTAAAATTTAAAGATTTTTTTAAACATAGCAAACTTCTTTAAATAATATTCTCATTAATTTCATAATTCTTCTTTTCAGATTTATTGTGAGCGTAAGTGTTGTGAGATTGATCCAATGAAGCTAAAACAAGGCGATAGTTTGGAATCGAATAAGGTCAACATCTTATGTTTTAAATAGACAGAATTTAAGAAATGTGGAAAAGAAGGTTTCTTCCTGACAGTTTACACTTAATTCATTTCATAATCACTCTATCTATTCCGAATTTAGAAGATAATTGGAAATTTTAAATGTTTCACTTCCATTCCAACAGAATTTACCTGAGCAGTGCAAAATATTATCCCTTGAAAATTTTAACCAATTTTTAATTTTTCAGCTAAATTTAATGGTATATGGTGAGATAGCATTTTCACGAGTGGTAGATTCAAGTCATCGTTGTCCGTTAGTGTTACGTGAAATGTTTTCCGATTTACGGGAACTTGCAGCGCAGAATTTTCCGGGTCGAGAAGATATTCAACGACTGGTTCTTAGTTCATTCATTATTATGCGTTTCTTTGCGGCTGCTTTGATGAATCCGAAATCTTTTGGACTTAAACGTGATCAACCGGTTAGCTTTTTTTCCAAAGAATTTGCAAATATTTTTTTGATATTTTATCTATTTTTTTCGATCTCTTTTTTCCAAATATCTTCTGCAATTGTCATAATATAAAAACTTAAGATACATTTATTACTACGTATTTTAAATAGATTTTTTGGTTTTTTACTTCACTCGAAATTAGCATATGTTTTGATTCAAATTTTTAGAACACAGAAAACTTCAACTATCTCTTATCGTCTAATCTTCGATCATTTTTTATGATGTGTTTCAGGAAGGTGTTGTTTGTCGTACATTGGTACTCCTGTCAAAAATACTTCAACGATTATCAAATTGTGTTGTTTCTGCGAATTCACTTACTGAAAAAGAGCCATGGCTTTCAGCAGTTCTTGGAAGGTTTATTTTTCAAATTATTAAAAAAGCTTTTTATTTTTCAATCATTTCGTTTTAATTCTTGTTTCATAACTGACTGTTAAGCGGAATTTTTAGGTTCACAGATGAACAACATCGACTAGCAATGTTGAAGTTTCTTAACACAATATCGATGACGGAGAATGCTACCGATGTAAATTGTGAAAATCTCTCAGTTGTTCGCGATGGGTGAAATTTCATGACTTTTATCAGATAGATTTTTAATTTTTGACTTTTACGAAGTGCTTAATTAAGTTCTCTAACATGACAAGTCAATCGAATAGTATTCGTGTTATCAGGTACTGATAAGGATAGACCATTAGTCGATTGTCAGTTTCACAGCAGAAATGATTGACTTAACAGTAATCATAGTGTTTTTAACGGAAAGATTAAATGTTAACTGATTTACAGATTTTTTATCGAACGAAAAATTCGAGAAAAGCGCCGAATATTGAGAAATTTAGTGAATCAAAAACGACGGTATGTTGTACTAACAGAAAATGAAATTTGCTGGCAAAAAACAAAAGGTTTCTTTTTATTCAAATTTATTGGAATTTAAAATTATGTCCATTTTAGCAGTAATATCCGCTTGAATGAATCCTTTTTGTGCTCTGCATGTGTTGAAAATATTTTTATAAATGAAAATCTCATAGTTTTTAAATATTCCACCAAATCTTTTTTGATTTAGTCTTTTTTGATAATTGACGAAAAATATTTTCATTTTATTCTAATTTTGCGTTTTGAATTTGAGCCATTTCCAACTCCGCCTAGGCTCATTAGCTATCAAAAATGACTAAATTTTTTTCTCATATTCAAATGTGAACTTAGATTTAATTGTATTGAATTTATCAAATGTTAATTTATTTTAGCAGATAGGGAACCGAAAGGTCGAATGAGGCTGCAAGAAGTGAATCAAATAGAGCCGGTGGTCAATGCAAAAAATGTTTTCAGGATAGCATCACCCGACTGTGAAATTCAATTTCAGGCACCAAGCACCGTTGAAATGAATGAATGGTTAGATTCGTTTTAATTTGAAATGATTCCTGAATTTAAATCAGCGAATTTATCATTAATAATAGAATTCTTGAATAAAGTTCCGCTGCAAATTTTGATTGAAATTTTAGGATAGTACAAATCCAGAAGCAACGCAAGCGGCAACTTATGATTGCGTTTGAATCGAACGATGTGTATGAAATAGATGTTGAACGAGAACTGGAAGCAATTCACGCAATACTTTATGAAAATGCGGAAATATTAAAGCAGTGGAAGAACATACTGGAAGGAACGGAAATTCCGGCTGGACATTCGTGCATACCAACTGCATTACAGGATCAGGTATTTATCATTTTTAAAATATATTGCATCAATGCGATTCTTTCTTATTTCTCTTGCCACGTAATTAATTATTTTCAGCTGAGAAATGATGAAAATCCGGAACAAGCAAAGCAGCTCTTTTATAATAGTCTTCAAGAAATTTTGCATAGTACTATATTAATCGAAAAGTCACATGATGAAATTGTTAATCGATTTATCAAGCAAGTAAGATTTTTCTTCTTTTATTTTTTCCGCAATGTTTCATTTCAATTTTCTCCATTAAGGAAAACGTCGAAATCTTATTAATTTATTATATTTTATAAAGTTTAATCAAATTGTTGAAAATCGATTAAAATTATTTAGGAATAGATTTGACAAATTCTATTTGAATTAAATGAAATTTTCATTTTAAAAAACTTATGCATTTTTAGATTCGTTACGGTAAAGGGACACGGGAACTACCAATCGGTGATGATAATTATTTGCTACTAAAATCTCGATTCCGCAAGAGCAATAATGAGACTTGATATTAGCTAATGATAAGAATGAAAGGAAGATAGAGGCAGATTGAGTTGCTCGGGATCTACTACATAGTAAGATTGTAAGAGCTAAACTCGAACTCAGGAAACAAACCCAAAATTTTACCTTATTGTTTCTGTTGTGGTTTTTACATATTATCTGTCTGCAAAAATTTTGTAATTATTTCTCTCTTCCCCTGCTCTCTCTTTTTTTAAAAGGGTCTTTATTCTTTCAAGGTGCTTGAATATTGTGACCATTATTTCTCTTAAATTTTCACGCTCAAAATCGTTCGCTGGCTTTCTTTGCCTGAATTTCCTATTGCCATTATCGGATTGAGTTCAGTTATAATCTGACTGATTACAGTTTAAATTAATAGATTCTTTTGTTCTTCAACCATTTCTGTATGATTAGAAAATGAGAAATAAATGAACTGGTAGAATTTGAAATTTTTAGTTAGAGGGTGAACTAAGAATAGGGATGCGGCAAGGAATGATGGAATTATGCAATATAAAATAAATTAGCAAAGTAGGCATGAAAGACGTAAATTCTATAGTTACATTAAAATTTCTCTATGTTACAGTAAAATTTCTCGTATGTTACAGTAAAATTTCTCATATGTCACAGTAAAATTTCTCATATTTTACAGTAAAATTTCTCATATGTTATTTACCTCGTCGACTAATTTTTTCATTTTATTATTTCTTCGTTTGTGTATATTTTTCATTTTCAATTTCATTAAAGGAATTGATTGCCTCAACTTTTTTCTACTCTTTTTTTTGTTTATTTCTGCCGAATATTTATTAGAGTATACATATATTTTTCTTTTAAGTACTTTGGCATATTTCTTATCACTACCACACTGATAATATCATTTCCCTAGACATTTTAGTTCCTTTTAGTTTGAAGGATAGGTATATTTTAGTTATCAATAATTATCGTAAAATGTATTTTAGATGAAGGAAAAGAGAAAATGTATATATGAGCACTGATATGATTTAAATAAGAGCGCCTTTAGGTGAATTACAATTGTTATTCGTTATTCGATTATTTTCAATTGTTTCCTTTATTATATTTATATCTATTTGAACAACAAGAAAAAGTTGCATCATAAAGTTTTCTTATCGCTTCATTGTATTTCATTTAAAAATAGAGAAAGGAAAACTTTAATCCTTCTTGAAAGTTTGTGACAATAGGCTAAACTGAAGAATCGGTTTCTTTTACACAAATGAATAAATGAACTTGAAGAGATAATTAGAGAAGTGAGAGAGGGACATGGAATGGAATTCATAAAATTCATCACATATTTTTCACCTGTCTTTTCATCTTTTCCGATGAAGAAGGAGAAATTGTCTATATAGAAGGAAGAGAGCGAAAAAGTCGCTAAATGCGCGGATTTTTTTAGAACTTACATATTTACCTTTCGAACTTTAAACGAAGGCAACAGGGAATGTTGTTGGAATTTTGTTATTTTTGTCTTATGATGGATTTTTGCTCATCAATTTTTCTCCCGCATCAAATCTCTCTTAATGTGTTTTATAGTTGACAATGCTAATATCGACTAAGCTAATAACACAATTCAGGAATTTTCTCTAATTAATATTTCACACCATTTTTCATCACAACAAAAAAACTGCTAATAAGTATCTGGTCATTTCTGAATTCTTCAAAAGACAGAAAAACTAAAATATTTATGTTAACATTAATTTATTCAAATTAAAACGAAAAGCAAAGGTAAAAGGTCGTGCTAGCCGACATATACGTACAGACACATACATATATACACATACACACTAATGCATAGATAAACGGGAATAGAGAAGGAAGGAAGCTTTTGTAAAGTGAAATAAAACATCGTATTGAAATCTCAGAAAATGCTAGAAAAGACACAGATATTAAAGGCGTTTAATGCGAAATATTTCCGTTTTCCTGAGCAACCATTAACTATGCTTCATCCGGTTACCATCACCTGATTCGGTTTTCAGTTCTTTTTGCTCTCGAACAACATCTAAAATTGAAAATATCATTTTCATTTTAGCACTGTTCAAAAAGTTACAACGCACTCTTCAATTAAAGCTATGTTCACTTTGTTACAACTCGAATATTTCAGATAATAATACTTTCACTTCGGGGGACTTCAAAATGAACCAAATTTTCTTAGCTCTCATTTTTCATTTGCGCTATAAAGTGACAATATAAAGTTAATTGTTAAAATTAAAATGGATATTTTCAAATAAAATTTATTGTTTGGGAATTCGGTAATCTACAAGAGCATTCTATCTCTGTCTACAATCTATAGCATTCTCTCAGGAAATATTCTAACCATCGGCAGATGGAAGCGCTATTTTTACAATCGGATCCACATGTTTCAACTTTTCTGTATCGAAATTTGCGATCAGCGATGGTACTTTTTCGCGAGCTATGTCTGAAATAAAATGCAAAAAGCAATTGCTTGAATGAATTGAGAAATTTAATAGTACTTCAATTTCAGACTTTAAAATTGAAATTCCAATTAAAGCATCAAAAACAAATTAATAATTTTTCTTATTTTTAAAATTCTCTATCGATAAATGTTTCTCCAATTTTAACACATCTGAATTTTAGCTTCAAAACAACGAATTAGAATAATTTTCTTTCAGTCTTAGCAAAAGTACGTCAAAATTATGAAAAGTTACCAGCAGGTGTCGGCAATACATTTTTTTCAACAATTTCAGCATGACGGAGTTTACTTGTATCGTGTATCTTTATTTCTCCTTTCAAATTTTCATCTACTTTTTCTCGATACATATCTAAAATTAAATTGAGAGGTCATGTCAAAATTTCTATCAACATTATAATCTCCTATTATTTGTTGTAGAATTTTATGAGAAATAAAATACGAAGAAAAAAGATCATTATCTTATCGTTATGTGCTAAAATCCATACAATATTATACAGATGGGAAAAAATTACCTTCTGGTTTTGGAAGAATATTCTTTTCAACAATATCCGCATGTCGTAGTTTACCACGATCATGCATTCTAATTTCCTCTTTCAATTCACGATCGATCTTTTCCTGACGAATGTCTTAAATAGAAGTAATTAATTAAGATCATCATTTCTCTAATGAGGCTAAAAAACTTCATTTACTTCATAGCAATAATTTTCCTTTGCCCAAATGTATTAAAGAATGCCGATAAAAAGATAACTTTCAAAATCCGTAATTCTGTTTTGCTAACTTGATAAAGGTACATTTTCATCAACTTCATTAATGATAATGAGGCCATATCATTATTGATTTTTGATGGAAAGCATTCATAACTACCATATAAATGTAGCAGTAAATAAGACAAGCTTTTTTAAGTTTTTTTTCAATTAACCTTACACATTAGCTTTGATTAGATGGATGGGAAAGCCTTATTAACCATATGAAATTTTTCTTTGGAATGTGGCAATTACATAGTTCTAAAAATTTGCAAATTAAAGTATGGATGATGACAGAAAGCTAAAATTTGCTAATTTCAATTCTTAATACCAAATTATCCATACTTCCAGAAGAGAAAAATCACCATGAGCTGTGGGTAAAATACTTTTTTCGCTAATTTCCACATGCTTCAATTGTTGTCCCTTGGTGACCTCTACAGCTATATCATGCGGTAACTTCGGAATTCTTTTTTTGCTGACCTTCAATCTTTCATCATTAATTTCTTCCATTGTTAAATGTACTGAAAATAATATAGAGATATGAAAAATATGATTTATGCATGAAGACGGAATATTATTTCGCCACTTGTAAGTTAAAAAAGCCTACTTTATTAATAGTAAAATAAGTTTGTTAATAGTTGGAGAGCTAAGTAATGAAGCGTGAAATTAAGTAAAAGTGGTAACAATTGTGATAACTGATAATTTTAGGAAATTTCAAGGCATCGTTTAGCTTATAATAAAAAATAAGTGGTAGGAAAAGAGCGATAAAAGTTTTTTGATAAATTGCAAGTATATGAGGGACTAAGAAGTGAATCGAAATGAATAATCACTCCATCCAACAAAATAGAGCAAAAGTTGTATTCACCGCTCGCCACTGCGCAGCAGTTCTCGAATTCGCATTATTACAAATACTGTCATGGAATATAAGATATAATTATTTCAATTATAAAATTTATTATGAACATGACGTATAAAGGCAATTTTATGAATGAATGATGCAAAATAGACCTGAATTAACTAATCTAAACATTTGATTATCCGATAAACTTCTCGTTCAATATAATCAATTCACTATATACCTTCGTATCAGAAAGTTAAAATTCGGGTAGTGAGATCATATAAATTTTCTGCCTAAGATAAAATTCTATTTCTTTAATGGAAGTAATAATAATAATTAATAATAATAATGACAATTAATTAATAATAATATTAATAATAATAACAATAACAACAATAATAACAATAAATAATAAAATAGTGATATTAATAGTAAATGAAAGTGAAAGAATGAATTTCTGGAAAATGAAAAGAAAGGATGACAAAAGAATGAATTTGCATTAGTTATATAAATTATGGCAAAGTGGCAATGGGAAATGAATCATTAATGAATAATCAATCGTATCATACTTTCTCTCTTAACGTTTTAATTGTTTAGACGGCAAACAGAACGTAATCTAATCTATTATTCAGCTAATATGTCAACATATCGCATCATTTATTAGGCATTTCGACATTTGTCAAGAAATTTCTTCACTTAAAGATTATTTATACACTTCTATGATTGTTTTAAATTTTATTTCGGAAGCTAATTTATTAAAAGATTTTTCTTTCTTTCTTTTTTTTGTCTTCTTTGTTTGCTTCAAAAATAGAAATTTGGAAATATGAAAGAAAGTATCCATTAGCTCTGTAAGCAAAGGACGGTGAGCATATCCATTAAACTATCATTACAATTATGGACAGAATGAATAGAAGGCCTTATGTCCAATAGCCAAGGAGGAAAGCGCCTCTTAACAATTCAATTGTTAAAGGGAAAAAGGAGCAGTGACACTTTAATATCAGAGTATCCTTGAGGAGGACATTTGAGTGAATCGGTGATAGTGTCTCTCTCTTGTGACCTTCTTTTCCATTTTATTTATTAAATCAATGCTTCCTTCAATTTCGTCATGTAAATTTCTTACAGATGTTCTGCTTTCAATTTTCATATTGTTCAATTCAATGATATCAAAGTTGAAAGCATAACTTTATTAAAATTAATTCAACTTCAATCCTTGCTTCAAATTGACTATTGCTATTTCTCGTTCAATGATAAGTATATCTTATCAGTCTGTGCAACCTTTTATAAATGAACATAAATTCTAATGTTCACAATTTTATTACGTATTATTTCAGTGTTAACAACTGACTCATAGAAATTCAAAATTGTAAAATATAAAAAGTAATATAAAAATATTTGCATTTTTAGCAAAGAATGGCAAAAATAAATTTGGAAATTTAATTTTGAAAGGAATAAAAGCTTTAAGTAAATACGGAAATTTTTGAAGGAAAATATTAAGCTAAGCAATTTCTATGAAATAATAAACGTTTTAATAACAAATTTTATTTCTAACATCTAACATCATTTGACAGTTCAAATTTTATTATAAAATTCACTACTCTCGTTTATGTGTAGATTTACAAATTCATCTTAGAATTTATATAGAATGGTTAAAATTTTATATTATCCAAATGAGAGATTCGAAGTAACACCGGTGTATTCTTGAACGTTGACATTCGCTTCCTGCCTTAATAGTTTTAGTTTCCAGCTTTTGAGTTCAGAATTTCGTGAATGCTCATTGCCTTCTGAAATTTTAAATCGAAGTGCGAATTCCCAAATTAGATTCTCGGATATAATAGAACTGGGCACAAAATAGAGTTTATAGCTGGAAATGACTGGGATATCTGGTTGCCGGGAAGACACTTGTGTTTTCTGAACAAACAAATTCTTAGCATAGAAACTGCTTAATCCATTTATCACTCGAGAAATTAAATAATTAATGAAACTAATTAAAAATATATATTAAGTGTTGAAAGTGAAATTAAATAATTAGTGAAACTAATTTTAATTTAATTTCACTTTCAATTAGTTTCACTAATTATTTAATTTCACTTTCAACACTTAATATATATTTTTAAATTTCTCTCTTTGTTTAATTTCCAACACATTAAAAAAATTAAAACCTCGCATGAATGAATAACACAATTGCAATTAATGCTTTTATTCAACGAATGTTAATAACGTTGAAGGCGCAATGAAATAATGACAGATAATCATTGCTATTTCAATTTCATTAGCTAAAAGAATGTTTCATTGATTAGTTCGTCTGAGAAAAAGAACGCTATCATTAACTAATCTATCTGTCTTGTCATTAATTTAAATTCTCAAACATACATATACAGCAATTTACTACATTAATGGATGAAGCATTTGTTAATATATATTTTCTGTTAGCGAAACTTTCGCTGATTTTTTTGATAAGAAAAAATTGTTTATCACTTTTACAAATTAAGCTGAGAAAAAAAAGTATTTTAAAAATAATACTGAAATGTTTGCATCATTTTAAGTTCCGAAATTAATCATTCCTATAGTATTTTGCCACTTACTATCAAATAGCCATTTATCATATCTCTGAAGTGTTTGTGATAAAATCGTTGGGTCCAACTTGATTGGATTTATTGAGTAACTATTCAAATGTTTTATAAAACTTAAAATTAAAAACATCACATAGAACTAAGAATCTTAAGAGTTTCAACGAACAATAATTGTTGTAAAGAAAAGCTCTTTCAGGCTAAATTAAATTTCGAGAAGTATGTAATTATGTGCGTTCCCTCAACTTAAACTTCCTTAAATAAAGTTGTCTAATTTTTTAAAAAGGAATCTCATCAAATCCATTCATCAAAAAATTTCAATAACGAATTAAATTGATTTTGAAGTATAAGCTATTCAGTCAAAAGTATTCGTTGTTCAGAAGAAAGAAAATATTTTTGTAATTGATCGATTTTTTCAGTTATCGTAGAAATCACTTCATAAATTCATTCTTTAAGCCCACAAATACTTCAGATAATATAATTAGATACCATTTTAAAATTTATTGGATTATTTATAAGACAATAAAAATGCTTGTTTAATTATTTTTAATGATTGAAAAAATTCAATTGTATTTCAAAAATTTCATTTTGAGTAAGCTTTGTAGAATTTTTAATCAATATTTTTATTCAGTCAAATTGGAGCTTAAATGCTGAATAATACAATAAGTTACTTGTTATTAGAATATCTCGGAACTTTGTGTACACACCAACGGATGTCAAACCATCTCTCGAATACATTTTTGCAGCATAAATGATCACTTTACATTCTATTCAAGTTCATGAATTGTTTAACAAAAAAGTTTTATATTTAAATCTTTTCTATTTTAACAATTACGAATACACTTACATCAAAAAATTTAACGAAAAGAAAACTTATAAATTGAAAAAAAATGTACTCTCTGAGATTTCCTGGTTGATTTCATTCCAATAACAAAATGATATCATTAAGAAGGAGCTAATGATAAGAGTTTATCATTAGGGATGTGTTAGATACTATTAAGTGTTAATATTGTTAGATTATTATGGCGCAAATTGAAGAAGAGAAAATTATTAAGGACAGAATGAAATTATTCAATTCATTTGAAGCGAAGAAGAAAAGAATGAGCAAAAGGAATAAAAGTGCACTTAAATGACTGTTTGCTTTCACCGTTTAAATTTGAAAATTACTTTGTTGGAAATGCGATTTGAAACAAATATTATCTGATATTAGGTTTGGTTTGGAGAGAATGAAAACGATTTTCCTTTGTCATGCCATGCCTATCATACAAATGATATTTCCTTTGTCATGCCATGCCTATCATACAAATGATATTTCCTTTGTCATGCCATGCCTATCATACAAATGATATTTCCTTTGTCATGCCAAAATGCCTATTATACAAATGATATTTCCATTTTCCTAAATTTCGATTCACTTCATCCAAAATTTCATTCTCTTCTTCCAACCTTCCTTAAATAAGCAAAAAGGCATATCGCATATATCTCAGATTATTCTGCATTTCTTTATAAGCCACTCAACGTCGAGAACACAACAAACCGACTCACAAAATCAAATGAGCCCTGCATTCACATGCGCACTCCATACTCCACCCCATGCCTTACGTTTAAGGCATTGGACTGCCGAAGTTGCGCAAATTAATATACGCTTGAGTGACCCAATGGTGATACGTACTGTGATCACCATATTCGCTTAGCGTACAAATCAAACGTGACATGGGAAATCAAAAAAAAATCAGAATTGATTTCTGGTATCCTGTCAGGACTGCGATCAATAACATGAAAGTGCAAAGCCATTATGTTCAGATTTGTAAAGAGGTGTGCAGACGACGAAGGATTTTTGCATTGCTTGAGAAATTTCTCGATTCATTCTCTAATTGATACGAGAGGTGATTTTTCATTGATTTAATGAGAGAAGAAAAATTAGTAGAAATCTTTGATGCTAATCGAACTTCATTTCACTATTCAATTAGTAATTATTTGTGAGAATAAAATATACTTTTCCATTTTCTTTTACACAAATATTAGAAATTGAAATTTCAAGGAATTAAAAGATTTAATTTAATTTAATTTAATTTATTTTGATTCACACATTATTAGCTTCTAAATGAGACAGAAGCTCAAAGTGAGTTGACCTGTTAAATTTAAAATTACTTTAAAATTTTAATTCAACAATAAAATGATAACAAAAAATAATAAATTAAAGTTGAAGAAATTTAGTAGTATAAACAATAACATCGTTCTTCCCACATTACACGAATGAATTTCAAGTCGGGCTAAATGAATTTTTGAAAAATTTTCAAAATTATAGTTTTCAAATAAGCAAGAGGTCGAATTGTAGAATAGCGTAAACAATGCTTGATAAAATTTGGTCAGACAAAATTAATATTTTGGAGCAGAAGATGGTCGAAAATGAACTGAAGATTGTTAAGCTCCTTTGCGAAAGCGCAGTAGTATGGATACAACTAAGGAGAGGTAGGAATAATGGTAGGCACGAACACAGTGCAGATTGTTTGACTTCCAGTTAGAACAGGCCTTTGTTTATTCTGAATGGCGACATACCATAGATATCTTAAATATAAAAAGTGAAATTACACTTCTGCAAAAAAGTGAAAAACAAAAATTGAACTTTGATAATTAAAGTTGAACTTTGATAATTAGAGATTCTTCCATTGAACATTGACAATCAGAAATTCTTCCATTGTTAAAGTTCAATTTTTGCATCAATGATAATATATATCATCAAGATAAGCAACAGTAATATCCGATGGATCCGAAATCATTAAATCGATTATTTGTTGAAAAGTTCCAAAGTTTCCAAAATAAATAAAGAATTAAGTTTTCGGTGGATTTTGATGAATATTTTGAATTTTTTGAAAAGCGTCAATATTTTGCTGAATTTCTCTATGATATATACAAAAATGTAATTCGGCTGAACAAGCAAAATTGTCCATATAATTTTGTTGATAAGAAGATAATCAAAGAAATATTATCATTATCATTATCGTAATCATTGTTTTATGGAAGATATGCGAAAAAGAAATGGAACTAAAGAAGAATTTTGAAATGTTTAATATGAATTTTATTAGAAAGACAATATATTTCTTTTCTTTTAATTAACAAATTAAAAATATCTATCAATTTTTATTAAAGTAAAAAATGATTTCTTAAAAAAATATAAAAATTCAAAAGTTTTCTTTTTTGTTTAATTCATTGAAATAATTTGAATTTATAAAAATAATTTATTAAATAGCAATTTATAGTGGAAGAATCAATATTTAACGAATTTATCATCAAAACAATAACATCTCTATAATGTGTCAGGTAAATTTCCACGTATTTGAATAGCTTTACTACTCATATTTGTTCTATTATCAATTGACTCAAAGCCAAGAATACCAACAACTTTTTCCCATCCACTCGTCTTTTCATCTGTTGTTATCATTCCTGTCTCGTGAAATGATATGCTTGTATTTGAACGAGCTGTCACCTGCAGCTAACACTTTACATATTATATATAATTGAATAATAAGAATAAAATTTTCATTTTTGCTAATAATAAATGAATTAAGTGAATAACATAGCATATATTCATTTAAATTCTTTTTGTTGAAATTCAATCATTATAGCCTAAGCCTTGAACATACTTACAGGACTACTCAAACTATCCTTCGTCGTTACTTGTTGATCGGTGTAAAGTGCGCGCTTGTCTTCTTCATATTTCTTTCTCCATTCCATAAACATTTGTTGACTCATAAACTTCTATAATAATTATCATTTCACTAAATGATTCTACGATTTCAACGAATTCTACAACTCATTGTTTTCTATAAAGCAAATTACATACCTTACATGTAACAGGTAAATATTCGAATATTTTCCTTCCAGCAACTTTCTTTTCAACAGATTTCAGATTATATACTTCTTGCAGTGGCATTTTCGACTTTAATATCTCAGCTACTGCTCTAAAATTTTTTGAATTATTTTGAAATTTTGAGAAATTTTAATATTCATGAAAGATGGATTTGCCGTTTGGAAGAAGTTGCTTATATTCATCGGCTGGAAGGTAATAGGTAATTAGAAGAATTTTCGATCTAAACGCAAATTTAAACTTTTTCATCACGAAGTGAGAGAAGATTCAAGTGTTATCTAGTTACAAATGACTACAAATGATCAAAGATGTAATTTTTAAATTTAGCACTAACTTCACCGGTTTTAGATCCTCAGCTTCCTCTTTGATAGTGAATACAGACAATTTTTTGGCAGCATTCAATAGTGAACTTTCCTTTCCTCGATCGACTGTAATATGTATGCAAAAAAAAATATTTGGGAATGTTTTTCGGAGTTCAAATTTTATCTGTATTTTTCAACAACAAGATTAAAGTGACGAGTTCAAATTTTTTATGCACCATTCATTTAGCAATTTGATTACTTTCTTTTACATTTCAAACGCAACAAATCAAAACTTCTTCAAAAGCAATCTTTTTTTAGATTGATAGAATTTTCCTATTTTAAGATTTAATGACAGTGTTAAAACTGATAAACTATAATTCAACGACTTAATCAGTCATAAATGAAACTGAATGAAATCTTAGTATGAGTGCAAATGTCGCTGTGATAAGCAATAAGTCATGTTTAAAGTATACAAAATGATGCCATCATATCCAGAAACAATTATTTTATTTTTCTGTTATCTGTTGACAGAGCTTTCTCAACCTTTTTCTGTTGTTGATGCGGCCGGTAATTCGCTATCCTTCGTAACAGCGGTCGAAGTATCAGTAAATTTTCGCTCCACATTGATTTGCACCAGTGGAGCTTGATACCGAACGATGGGTGCAGAATTATTAGGTATAGGTGCACCTTCGGTGAAATCGATACAGATGGTCATATGAGCTGGATTGGTGCATGACGCCGAGAAATAGTTGCGCACTGCGGTTTGCACCACATGGCGTACCATCTGCAACGACAAACTTTTCTAAAATTATTTTAAACTTCTAAAAAGAAAATTTCTGTTGCTTTTAAGGTATTAAGGTATTTTCCTTTACATTTCTGAATTCAATGGTATTACTGCTGAAAAGAAATCTTCAGAGATTTATAAATTTCAAAATATTTCGAGTGAAATTGCTAATGTGGTCATTGAGCTAACAGCATGATCGGAGCAGGCATATTCGGTATCAAATTCCGGAAGGACTGCATTACTTCCCAGTCCACCGCTATGCTTCTCACTCCCTGTTATTGATGACGACATCGACCGCCTCTTAGATTTACAATAAACTTCAAATATCAGTTATTCCAATTGAAATAATTTTATGTCTTCAAAAATATTCAAATTCCCAAACTTTTTGTGAGTCCAGTAAAATATCGAAATTTAGTGTTAATTGGAGTATGGTAATATTAAACCTGGAAGTTAAGCTTCTCTTTCTAAAAATGTTTGAAATTGCTTGATTTCTTTGGAATGACTGAAAATAAAACTTTTCAACGATCAATCATTCCACAATAACATAGCTAAATGAAAATCCAAAAGTCATCTGCACTGCTCGAATTAAAATTAAAAATTAAAATTTAAAATTTTTACTATATTTTATTTTTTACTGAAATATTTTACTGAAATGTGAATTTCTTATTCCATCGATCTGATTTGACGAGTTTTCAATAACAAAATTATTTTCATTCGTGGCTGTTATTATTTCAATTTGTTTCACACAAAATCTTCCATTCCAAAATCGTACTTTCAATATGTTCATGAAATTTTCAATAAACTCAAGCACTTCTTGTATTTTCTCCCCTTTTTTCTATTCCAAAAATATTTTCATTTACTATACTTTCCTGTATTGAAATAAATTAATTGAAATGAAACATTAAATTTAACTAATTAATAAATTTCCATATTGAAGAAAATTTCAACAATCATTAGGGTTCAAAAAGAAGCTGCAAGAATGGAAATGCTAATAATTACATTAAATTCGATGAACAATTGTCAATTTTAAAAAAATCAGAGATTTATTATTTTCCAATAGAAAACTCTTCTTCTTCGATTTTCTTTTTATAATAAAGTTTGTTTTATAAATGAATAAATCATCCAAAGGATGTAATCATTTCTATTTCCTCTTCATTATTCAATAATATTATCATAAGCTTTCGATATTCTTAATATTTGGCATAATTTCGGTACTCAGTTTATTAGGATGAAATATTTGGTATTTACTTTATTTTAATCTAAAAAAGTGATGAAATGTAATGAAGCATAGTATAACTGACTGACTGACTGCTAAAGGGTTTAAATATTTCTTTAGAAAATTTAAAAACTTCCAATCACGTGTTATTATTATGTTTTGTTGCAAAATAAATACTCGCAAAATGATATTTCTCGTTTTGAAATTTAAAAACAAAATATTTTGATAAGAATGGGTGAATTGCTATTTTAAATAAAAATTCCATTTATTATATGAAACAAAATTCTCCGTCCCATCATCCTTCATCCCACCATAAAAGAAGATTTGCTAAATAATTGCTTCTAATTAATTAATGACAAATTGAGAATTATGTATTACGGAATTGATAAAAATGTGAAATAGATATGTTATGTAATTAAATTGGGGAAGTAACATTTTATATTTTCTATTTTAGTAAGCTTACTTTATTAAACTTTCTATAATTTATTGAAATAAAAATAAAATAAACTTTCTATACTTATTTGAAATAAGAATGGTTGAAAAAATTCGAAGAAAGTTTTGAGACACATTCATTTCAAGGAGTTTGTCGATAGTAAAAAAACAATTATTGAACTATTTTATACTTTTATCAATTTGTCGTTAATTAATTAGAAACAATTATTTAGCAAATCTTCTTTTATGGTGGGATGAAGGATGATGGAACGGAGAATTTTGTTTCATATAATAAATGGAATTTTTATTTAAAATAGCAATTCACCCATTCTTATCAAAATATTTTGTTTTTAAATTTCAAAACGAGAAATATCATTTTGCGAGTATTTATTTTGCAACAAAACATAATAATAACACGTGATTGGAAGTTTTTAAATTTTCTAAAGAAATATTTAAACCCTTTAGCAGTCAGTCAGTCAGTTATACTATGCTTCATTACATTTCTTACATTTCATCACTTTTTTAGATTAAAATAAAAATGGTTTCAATGAAGAGAAATGATATACCGAATGTAAGACATTGATGGAAAATGGTATAAGTTGAAATTTATGGTACTTATTTCATCCTTATTAGATTAAGACGTATTTGTTAATTCATTCGGGAAGTTTTTTAATGGTAGTAGAAAAGGATTGATAGAAAATTGAAAAACTATCAAAAATTCTGTTGTGTAAAACAAATGTGACAGCTGACGATGATAGGGTGATTTTAATTAAATTAATACAAGTAATACGATACTGAGACTATAACTTACCACATATGCTGTAAAGTTTACTCTTATCAGTTTGTATATTCTTTCATACTTCTTTAAACTGATTCAAATTTTAATTTCAATGAAAATTCAAAAATTCTTAGTTTTGTTTTTGTCTGTCTCAATTTCACTTCTTTTAATTAAATTTTTTTTTGTATACCAACAAGAAAAATAAGTTCCTAATTTACATAATTTCTAACTCGCTCCTTTATTTTCACATTCATATTAACTCAGTTAGTTTTCTGACTTGGTCTGTCAATTAAGTTTGCAATTGTTAAGGTGAAATGTAGATGTGATTACATGAAAATTCCCGTGTTCTGGAGTTGCAGAATTTCTATTAACCGCAGTTATATTTTTTACGTTATCACGTCCCACGACACTTTTCATGTTGTTATGTTCTACGACAT